GATTACATTAAAAATTGTATCTTTCTTTTACATACTTAGAAATTTTTTTAAAAATCTAATTTTAAATCTTTTCTTATATCGCTTTGTTTTAAAATGACGACTGTGACACTTTTTTTAAATATTATAAATATCAAATAAACTGAAAAAACTTAAAAGTCTTAAATTAAATAGTTATTGGCTAAATAGAACTAAATGAATTATCTAAATTTTAAGATTTAATTAAATACTGTCAAATATTATATATTAAAATGTGGGTAGCCAGGACAAGGTGTATAAACACGATACAGTATTGTGATGCATCGCGGCAGTCGCCATTTTGGATCCTTTTGAGGTTATGTGTACGATATTTCTAGAAGAGAGATAAAATGGCATCGATATTGCAGAAGAGATTAATTAATGGAAACCAACTGAGAGTTTGAGACTGTGTAATGTCAGTGGATAAAATAATGCTGAAATTATAAATTTACGAAGTGTTTATAACTTTGTAATATAATGTAACTAAATTTAATAGATACACTTTCAGAAGTCACAATTTGCACTTAAAAAGAGCGAATGAAAGAAATTATTGAAATGGAATGCAATTCCGACCCTTTTTGATGTTTCAAATCTTTTACTCCGTCTGCAATTAAGAAGAAAAACACTTAGAGAAAGAGAATTACCTCCAAATTAGTGCAGCTTTGGTTTAACAAATATTTTTAGGACATTACAAATTGCTTTTTTAGGTTTAGAACAATATATTTATCACATTCCTTTTATATTTGAAATTTCAGTGGCTCAAACTCGTGCAGTTTACAGCACATAGCATGAAGTCGTCAGGGCCGCCGTAAGCGGGCGTGCAAGGCGTGCACCGCACACGGGCGGCACGTCCAGGGGGCGGCAAATCGAGCGATCGGTCACGTAATAATTAGTCATTGTCATAATACCCACCCTACTTATAGCATAAGAAATGTCTTCGCATGGAGAAAAAAATCCGACGGGCGCGCAATTACTATATTCTTATTTATATTATAGCGTTAACAGCGCCTCTGTTGGCATTTATCAGAATTAAGATGCAATGCGAAACGTCTGTCGGCAGGTTGAACCATCTGGCGGGCACCCGAAAGCCAAGTACCAATAGTCGTGCTGTATGACAGAAGTTGACAGGTTTGGCGAAAATAGGGAATCCCTACAGAGCTTCCTTCTCAATTTGTACTTGTACGCATTCGAACAGTTCTATTGCATATCAAATTGCAATTATTTTGTTAATAATTCTTCTGACATGGGTCGAAGTATAATTAATGATATTTTAACTTGGTTAGGATTTAAATCTGAAGCTTAAAGACGATTCAAGTAGTGAAACAGACATTGACA